CGGGCCACCCATCTGCCGATTCGGCTGCGCAGGAAGTGTGAGAGCAGCCAGGTGAAGTTCCGGGGCCGCACCACGTACTGCATGCACGGCTGTCTGCAGACCACGGTGTGTGGGGACATCACCATACCCGAGGAGCATCTGGAGGTGAGAGTGGACTCTACTTGTTGTACGTGGGTTGGGTTTTTTTACGCTGCCATCAACACAATTTAGGTCGTATATGGTCGCTTTTAAGCACAAGGGGGCTATCCCGAAAAATGCTACTTATTTCCTATCAAACATCTATCGTCCTTATCTCCCCTTCTTCTTTTTTTTTGTTTGTTACTCCCTTGTAACACCTCTAATCTTCTGGCGCTCATATGACCTTATGCAGTTGCCGTAAAACCTCTACTAAAACTAACTAAACTGACGTTTTGAGAAAATTGAAGTTAAAGTTTTTGCCCTTTGTTCAGTTTCTTGAAAAGACAAGGAGAGTTTTTTTCTATAACCAAACAAATATACACACCAATGTAACCAAACTTCTCCTATAGGTAGAGCAATGCCCACTTTTGGTGTAAGTCAAGATTTCTTGAACCCACCGAAATCTAGGTTTGCCCACTTGTCTTTAGAAGCGACCATTTGTCTGTGCTTCTATTTTCCCCTGCAGCGTGGCTGTCATGAGGTCTAGAGGTGGGCAAAATCCGGATAAATATTCGGAGTATCGGGTAATCCTCAATAAGACATTATCCGAATTAAGACTCTTTTAACTCTTTTTCCTGACCCGTTTGCCGAAGTGGGTGCCCCCGTTCGTTGAAGTGATGCTAACCCGTTTGTCAAAGTGGTTATAACCCATTTGCCGAACCGGTTCATAACATATTATTTACCGAAGAGGTGCACTGACATATTGTCCGGATTTTTCTAAAGCGACTCATTGCCCAGCCCTATTGAGGTCTGTTTGTATGTTTCTCTTGACTTGACCAAGGTATTTCACTTGCTGATCGTGAGCGGTTGCCAGGTGCTGTGCTGTGGTTTGCTCCTATGATCTTTCCTATCAAACGTCTATCATCCTGATGTCTCCTCCTTCTTTGTTGTGTTTGTTACTCCCTTGTAACACCTCTAATCTTCAGCACTTATATGACTTGATGTGTTGCAAGTGCTGTAATCCTTGTGCAGGATAGAATAAGAAATGAAGAGCTGTGGGAAAGGACAGGACAAAAGGATATAGAAGTAGAAATAGGACTAAGAAAGTGGCGTTGGATGGGACACACCTTAAGAAAGCCCAGCGGAAACACCACAAGACAGTCATTGCAGTGGAACCCACAAGGAGCACGAGGCAGGGGTAGGCCACGGGATACATGGAGGAGATGAAGCTCACTTGGAACGAGCTTGGAAGGATGGCTCAGGACAGAGATAAATGGAAGGAGCTTGTATGTGGCCTATACCCTGCCAGGCGTGAAAGGCATTGATGATGATGATTGATGATGAAGTGTTGTAATCCTTGTGCAGTTGCGAGTGCCGTAAAACCTTACTAAATCCAAAACTAAACAAGTGCTGTAAAACACTTACTAAAAAAACCCCAAAACTTCTGTTTACGATACATGTACTTTTTCTTAAGTCAAACTTCTCACAAATGTTTTTCAGTTATGTACCGTGGTTTGTTTTTATATCCGTACCTAATAAATGGTGATACCTAATGAGGGTGCAGTGACAGAGCGGTTAGTGCACTCGTCTCAGAGGCAGAAAGTCCGGGTTTGAGCCTCGGTTCGGACACAGATTTTTATCATCCCCTCCTGCTCACCCAGCAGTAATGGGTACCTGACTTCAAGTTGGGGAAGTGAAGGCCTCGTGGAAAGAAACTGGCCACTCTACCACAATATGCCAAAGGCCCATGAAGTTGTCTCACTAAAAGGCAATCCCCAATGTCCGGATCGGATGCTGGAACAACTTTACTTTACTTTTTCCCTAATAAAGTTTTTTTTCTCGTACTGTTCTTTGCCAGGGCTGCATGTACTACAACCCGCTGACCCGTCAGTACGTACGTGAGCCCTCGTCATACCCGGGCATCACCGACACAGACTTCATCCTCTACATCGCAACCATCCCGTCACGCAAATGTCGCGAGGGACAGACCATCGCCTACGCTGCCCACTGCCAGCAAGACCAAGCTCTCGACAGGTGTGTTGTGTGTTAGTGTGTGTGTGTGTGTGTGCGCATGCATGTGGGCGTAAGTGTGTGTGCGCAAGTGCGTGTGCGCATGTGCGTGTGCGCATGTTCTATTTAAGCATCTGTCTCAGCTCACATCTCCACGTTGGTTAAAATGTATCTATGCCTTTCTCTCTTCCACCCGTCCCTCTCACCCCCCCCTCTCTCATTCTCCCCCCCCACTTCTCTCTCTCACTCTCTCCCTTCCTCTCTCCCTCCCTCTCTCTCTTTCTCTCTCTCTCTCTCTCTCTCTCTCCACAGACCAGTGGCTGGCTATTTCAGCATCTGCCCCAACTCCATCTCCACCCTCGTCTCTCTCCCCCTCTCTCCCTCTCTCTCTCACTCTCTTCCTTCCTCTCTCTCTCCCACAGACCAGTGGCTGGCTATTTCAGCATCTGCCCCAACTCCATCTCTATGCCTAATAGAATATATTTATATCTTTCTCTAGTGGGTCGTTGGCGGGTGCTCTGATGTGGTTTGCTTCTTTTTTCCTATCAAACATCTATCGTCCTTATCTCTCCTCCTTTTTTGTGTTTGTTACTCCTTTGTAACACCTCTAATCTTTGGCACTTATATGACCTTGTTGTGTTGCAAGTGCCGTAAAACTCTTACAAAAACTAAACTATGTCTTTCTCTCTCTCTCTCCACCTTTCCACCCCCTCTCTCTCTCTCTCTTTCTCTCACTCCCTCCCTCTCTCTCTCTCTCTCTCTTTCTCTCACTCCCTCTCTCTCTCTCTCTCTTTCCCTCATTCCCTCCCTCTCTCTCTCTCTCTCTCTCTCTCTCTCTCTCTCTCTCTCTCTCTCTCTCTCTCTCTCTCCACCTCTCCACCCCTCTCTCTCCCACCCTCACTCACTCCCTCTCTCTGTCTCTCCACAGACCAGTGGCTGGCTACTTCAGCATCTGCCCCAACTCCATCTCCACATCCCGCCAGAACCAGCAACAACTCCTGTCCACCATGAAGCACGAGATTCTCCACGCTCTGGTCAGTCCCTCGGCTTGTCTTTATTTCTTTGTTTGTTTGTTTGTTTGTTTGTTTGTTTGTTTGTTCTAGGAAGCTTTTCTGTCCCCGTGGTTTTACGCATCTCGCATAAATTAAGCAAAATTTGATCGTTTTGTGCATAATTTCTGATTATTTTTACTTTATCATTCCTTGTTGAAATTAACAGAACCGCATAATTTCACATTTTTGGGCTCAGTTTGGATAATTTCAGAATTTTTCTCTCATAAAACGACAGGGACAGGGTTTTACGGCGCTCGCAACTGCGTTAGGTCATATGAGCGCCAAGGGGTATTGTTGTTATAGTAAGGTTTTACTGCGCTCGCAACTGCATGAAGTCATAAAGCGCCAAGATGTAGATGTCAACAGAGAAGTCCAGACGGGGAATCAGGCGAACTCTGCTCACCTCTCTAGCCTCAACAGCACAAAGTCTGCTTCGACCATCAAGGCAACTTGGAAATAGCGGGCCACAAGAGAGAAGAAGTTGAGAAAAAATGATGATGGAAAGGATGAGGAAAGAAAAAGCTGCAGTTCCCCCCCCGTATGTTGTTCCGGCACAGTATGAGCATGACATTGATAAATCAGCCCACTTATAATTACAATTCTGCTGTGCATAAGAACATGTTATTGTCCCCCCTTTGGGAATGGCCTAAAGATAACTTCAGTCAGTAGCACTGCCCCGGTGAGGGACTCTGCTTCTGCCATAGGTAGGTGTTTGCCTGTGTGATGGGTGGTTGGCGGGTGCTCTGGTGTGGTTTGCTCCTTCTTTCCTATTAAACGTCCATCATCCTCATCTCCCTTCCGTGGATGATGTTTTGGGTGTGGTTTGCTCCTTTTTCTCCCATCAAACAGCTGTTGTCCCTTTATCTCTCCTCATTCTTTTATATTCAAGCATTCTAAAAAAGGCAGAAATAATTCTTAGTGACTATAGCCACCCACTGACATCGGAATTTCAACTATCGACCCGCAGTAAACGATACATTTCCAAAAATGCAAGAACAGACAGATATAGATATTCATTCATACCAACTGCAGTGAGGTTACTGAACACACAGTGCTACAAATGAAACAGAGAGAGAGAGAGAGACAGAGACAGAGAGAGAGAGACAGAGAGAGAGAGAGAGAATGTTTTACGGAGCGGGTTGTCCCAGCCCGTGAGACATGTATTTACTTGGCCTAATGTCCTGTCTTGTTGTGCGTTTGCGTGAGTGCACCTTTAAGTCTAACTTTTGTAACGTCTACTGCCATTGTTAACAACCAAGACAAATTTCTTCCTGCGAGATGAATAAAGATTGTCATTATCATGTATGACTCTCTCTAATAACATTTCTAATCTTTTTTTCCTAACAAATGTCTATTGTCCCTATCTTTCCTTCTTTTTTTTTTGTATCTTACTGTCTTCTAAAATCTCTGATCTTCTTTCCTATCAAACATCTGTCATCCTTATCTCTCCTCCTTCTTTCCTATCAAACATCTATCATCCTTATCTCTCCTCCTTCTTTCCTATCAGACATCTATCATCTTTATCTCTCCTCCTTCTTTCCTATCAAACATCTATCATCCTTATCTCCCATCCTTCTTTCCTATCAAACATCTATCATCCTTATCTCCCATCCTTCTTTCCTATCAAACATCTATCATCCTTATCTTTCCTCCTTCTTTCCTATCAAACATCTATCATCCATATCTCTCCTCCTTCTTTTCTTTGCATGTTACTCTCTAGAAGTAACACCGGTCATCTCCGCCACATGTATGACCTAATTGAGTTGCAAATGCCGTAAAACTCTCACAACCCGCGGGGCAGTGCCACTGACTGAAGTGTCTTTAGGCCATTCCCAAAGGGGGGACATTTCTTGTTCAAGCATAGTAGAATTGTAAATGGGTTGACTCATGTCACGCTCATAACTGTGCCTGATCTACAACACGGAACTGTTGCTTTTTCTTTCCTGATCCTTACTATAGTCATTTTCCTCTACTTCTTTTGTATGTTTGTCACTCTCTTGTGACCTGCTATTTCAGGGGTGCCTTGATAGTCAAAGCAGACTTTGTGCTGTTGAAGCTAGAGAGGTGAGCAGAGTAAGTCTGATTCCCTGTAAAGACTTCTTTGTTGACATCCACCCCTTGACGCTCATATGACCTTATGCAGTTGCGAGCGCCGTAAAACCCTCTACTAAAACTAAAAAAACTAAAATCTTTTATCAAACATCTATCATCTTTATCTCTCCTCCTTCTTTTCTTTGCTTGTTACTCTCTAGTAGTAACACCGGTCATCTCCGCCACATATATGACTTAATTGTGTTGCAAGTGCCGTAAAACTCTCACAAAAACTTCCCCAGGGCTTCACGGCTGGCCTGTACGCCTTCTACCGTGACGATGACGGGAACCCCCTGACGGCGCGAGACCCCGTGTCTGGGAGGCCGCTGAGCTACAGGTAGGCCTCAAAGTAACTGTCGTCCGTCTAACATACATTGGAAACTGCCTAGAGAGTTTGCTGTTGAGTGGGAATTTGCGCTATGCAAATGTGAGGAATCGTGGTGGAATCAGGCGCTCGTCAAAATAACCAGATTAGAGAAACAGATATTTTTCCACCAGTTCGGCCATTTTTCTTGAATTTTTGCTTTTTGGCTCAACCCTTTCTATAGCCATGTAAAAACACATTCCCATGTGAATTTTACTGAAAAACGTTGATTAAAGGCACAAAATATGTCATTTTTCTGATAAGGACTCTTTAGCTATTGAAGTTTCCAAATTTTGGCAGCCATTTTCTCGCTAATTTCACCACTGAAACCAGGGGACCCTGACCTCTTTCAATCGCAAATATTTCGACTTCTATTCCACATAGATGGCGATTTTTTCACCCAAAGCAAGACAAATGAACAGGCTTTAAGATGATACCAATAACTCCACATGCCCAAATATTTACGAGTGCCTGATTCCACAGCGCTGTAACACGACACATATGTGAGGCAGCGTGGTGGAATCAGGCTCTCGTCAATTTTTGGGCATGTAGAGTTATTGGTATCATCTTAAAGCTTGTTCACTTGTCTTTGTGTGGATGAATAAATTATCCATTTATCTTAAATACAAGTCAAGATATTTGCAAACAAAGGAGGTCGGGGTCACCTGTTTTCAGAGGTAAAATGGCCGCCATAGATAAGTTTTTTCCTTAGCTTAAGAGTCCATGGTAAATGAGAATTTACATTTTTGTCCCTTTAATCAGCGCTTTTCAGAAAAATCCTCCCAGAAATGAGTTCTTTAATGTGCATGAAAGGTGTTGAGTCAAAAAACAAAAATTTGATAAAAATTCACAAAACTGTGGAAAAATGCAAGTTTCTTCACTTTGATTATTTTGACGAGAGCCTGATTCCACCGCGCTGTAACACGACACATATTATAAAGCGCATAGAGCTTGCTGTTGAGTGGGAATTTGTGCTATACAAATGCTGTCTATCATCATCATCATCATTATCATCATTAGCGTTATTTATTATTAATATTGTTGTTTTTATAATTATTTTTCTTGCAATCATCATTATTATTATTATTGGGTTTTTTTTTAATAAATTTTTTTATGATTATTATGATTATTATTATTGTTATTGTTTTATTATTTCTATTATTATTATTTTATTGCTGTTAGTATTATTATTGTTATTATTATTATTATTTTTATTATTGTTGTTGTTGTATTTATTATTATTATTATTATTATTATGATTAAATTATTATTATAATTATTATTATGATTATTATATTATTATTATTATTATTATTATTATTATTATTATAACTATACCTAAAACTCCAACAAAACGTGCCAATGCCAACTGTCTGTTGCAGTATGGGCATGTTCCAATGGAGCTCGGCGGTCGTACGTGTGGTGGATCGGCCACACTGGATGGACGGATCGGGCGTCCGGCACTCCAAGAATGTCAACATGATGGTGACCCCGAGGGTGCAGGTAGGTGGATAGGTGGTCGGCGGCTGCTCCATTGTGTCTGTGTGTGTGCAGTTTGCTTCTTCTTCTTCTTTTTTCCTCAAACATCAGAATTTCTCGTCCTTTATTTCGACTTATAGTTGAGGGCTTCACCGTACGCCTTTTTGAAAAGTGACGTAGGAGGGAGTTTCTTACAGTGAGCATTCGGTGGGTGGTTGGCGGGTGGTCTGGTGTGGTTTGCTCCTTCTTTCCTATCGAACATCTGTCGTCCTTCTCTCTCCTACTCCTTTTTTGTGTATGTTACTCTCTTGTAACACCTCTAATCTTCGGCACTTATATGACCTTATTGTGTTGCAAGTGCCGTAAAACTCTTACTAAAACTAAAATGAGCAGTCGATCTCTTCTCCTCCTTTTTTTTTCTCTTTAGGTCACTCTCTAGCAACTCCTCTAATTTTTTGCTTTTTATATTATGACCTATTCGTGTTGCATGTGCTGTAAAGCTCTTATTAGAATGAAAACACATCTAAGCTTCAGCACTTATAATAATTAATTAATGGACAAAACCTTTGCCTTTTTGTATGAGCATTTTTTATTGTCTGAAAGAATGTTGCTGTCAAAAAAGTGCACACATGATGAATTTGTATGGTGTTAGTATGAATGAGTTTTTAATCTCCAATGTCGTACGCCTTGGGCCCATGTTGTGGGGAAAGGCGGGATACAAATGTTCTTATTATTAGTATATGACCTATTTGTGTTGCAAGTGCCGTTAAATTCCTAGTAAAACACCTCTAATCTGCGGCACTTATATGACCTATTTGCATTGCAACCGGTGTAAAACTCTTACAGTGGGTGGTTGGCGGGTGCTCTGGTGGGGTTTGCTCCTTCTGTCGTATTAAACATCTATCGTCCTTATCTCTCCTCCTTTTTTTTTGTATGTTACTCCCTTGTAACACCTCTATTCTTCAGCACATATATGACCTTTTTGTATTGTGCCGTAGAGCTCTTCCTAAAACTAAAAAACTTTTACTAAAACTAAAAAACTCTTACAAAAACTTACAAAACTTTTACTATAACTAAAAAACTCTTACAAAAAACTAAAAAATCTTTTACTAAAACTAAAATATTTTTACTAAAACAAAAAAAAACTCTAACAAAACTTTAAAAAAACTCTTACTATAACATAAAAAACTCTTACTAGATCTATAACTAAAATTTTTTTTACAAGAACTAAAAAAACCTCATACTACTTTTACTAAAACTAAAAAATTGTTACAACAGCTAAAACACAAAAACTAAAAAACTGTTACAAAAACTAAAAAACTGTTACAAAAACTAAAAAACTTTTACTAAAACAAAAAAAACCCCTCTTACTATAACTAAAAAAACCTTTTAGGTCAAACTAAAAAACTCTTACTAAAACTAAAAAACTTTTACAAAAACTAAAAAACTGTTACTAAAACTAAAAAAGTCCTAAAAAACTAAAGCTATAATGTGTGGGTGTGGCTGTCCTCAGGCGGAGGTGCGTCGACATTTCAACTGTCCCTCGCTGGAGGGGGCGGAGCTAGAGGACCAGGGCATTGACGGGACCGTGCTGACACACTGGGAGAAGCGTGTCTTTGAGGTACACAGTACACGGCCCCCAACGTGTTGTGCGTTGGATGTGTGTTCTTGTACGAGTTGTTGATCTTGTCAGTTTGTGAGTGTTTGAGCGCTTTATTGGCAGCTTGTATCTTGTTAGTCTGTTTTAGTGCCTTTAAAATGACAGCTTGGACTATAATATGCTTCCAAGGAAGTTGAGACTGTTTCAGAGTGCTATTAGGTCTGCTGGGGTAATAGCATAGATTGTGAAGCGCATATAGAGCTTGCCTTGAGCGGGATATATGCTATACAAGTGCTATTTATTTATGTTATTATTATTATTTGAATTCCTGATGAGGTACAAGTTGCTTCTTCTTTCCTATCAAACATCTATCGTCCTCATCTCCCCTCCTTCTTTTTGTGTTTGTTACTCTCTTGAAACACATCTAATCTTCGGCACTTATATGACCTTTTTGTGTTGCAAGGGCTGTAGAACTCTTACAAAAACTAAACTAAAGAAGTTGAGACTGTTTCAGAGTGCTACCAGGAGGTCTGCTGGGGTAATGCTATAGATTGTGAAGTGCATAGAGCTTGCTGTTGAGCGGGAATTTGCGCTATGCAAATGCTATTTATTATTATTATTATTATTATTTGTTAGTGTTTGAGCGTTTATTCAACTGCGTGCACTGTATGCTCCACGGGAAGCCTAGAATGTTTTTGGGTGTTCTAGGGTTTGCTGGTGTAATAACGGTAATTGTAACTAGCATAGAGTTTTCTGTCGCGTGGGGATATGAGCTGTACAAAATTTGTATAGCATTTAATGCTATTTATTATTATTATTGTTATTATCATTGTTGTTGTTGTTATTAATATTATTATTATCATTATTATCTTTATTAATTGAATGCTCCGCTTGATACAAACAGGTCTTTCTTTTAAATGATGACCCAGATAGTGTGGTCTGTTTGGGGTTTCTTTTGGTTTTTGGGGTTTAAAAAAAAAATATTTTAAAAATTACTTTTCTTTTTGTTTTACTTGCATGTCTAGATTCTCGCTAAGTAGATCAGTATGGAAGAGATGAGGGTTGAAGACAAAGTGAGCTGAGAGAAAAAATGTATCTTCTATGTTAGAGAGGTTGTGACGTGTGAGTGGTACCCTTTGGTGGGGGGAGTTGCAACCTACTGGCTACTGGTGCAGGGTTCATACAGGGCTTGGAAAACTGGAAAACTCTTCGAATTTTGTTTTTATTTTCCAATTTTCCAAAGCATGGGAAACTCTTGTTTTTTTATGAAATTGGCAAAATTCTTGGAAAAGTCAAGAAAAAACAAATTTTTAACTAGATCTATTGTAGAAATATTATTTCCTTGAAGTTTAGAAGGCCTCGACTTTACGCATTCTGGATAAAGCAGTGACTGGATATCTGGTCCTATGGACTTATTCAGGCTGTGTGTTTGTGTGTGTATGTATATATTAGTGTGTGTGTATGGTGTATATGTGTGTGTGTATGTGTGTGTGTGTGTGTGTGTGTGTGTGTATGTATGTGTGTATGTATGTGTGTGTGTATATATTATGTATGTATTTGTTTGTATGTTTGTGTGTGCGTGTGTGCATGTATATATTAATTGTGTATGTATGTGGGTATATATAATATGTAAGTGTATGTTTGTGTTTGTTTGTGTGTGTGTGTATGTGTGTGTATGTGTGTGTGTGTGTGTGCATGTATATATGTATGTGAGTGTGTATGTAATTGGGTATATATAATATATATATATATGTGTGTTTGTGTTTGTGTGTGTGTGCATGTATATATGTATGTGAGTGTGTATGTAATTGGGTATATATAATATATATATGTATGTTTGTGTTTGTGTGTGTGTGCAGGTATATATGCATGTGAGTGTGTATGTATATGAGTATATATAATATATATATTTGTGTTTGTGTGTGTGTTTCAGAATGAGGCTATGACGGGCACATACACACAGAACTCTGTCATTTCACGCATCACTCTGGCTATGATGGAAGACACCGGGTACGTCGCACGCGTCGCCTGTGTAAAACATCCCCCTCCCCCCCCCCTGTCTAATACGACTACTTTTATCCCCCACAATTGGCAGCCGTCGTAGACAATTTTTCCTGTTTTTTGTGTGCTTTTTTACACCAACATTAATGTAGGTCTTTGCACCTACGTTTTGATACACACACAAGGTTCGTAAAGGTCTTGGAAAAGGGGAAAACTCTGGGATTTTTTGATTTTTTCTTTTTCAAGACATGGAAAACTTGGAATTTTGAGAAATTGGCAAAAGTCTTATGAAAAATCAAAATTTTAACTAGATCTATTGTAAAAAATATTTCCTCGAAGTTTAGAAGGCCTCGACTTTACTCATTCTGAGGTCTACCATAATGTATTTTTGCATGCTGAACGGAAATTTTTTTGCCATAATGACACGTTATTTGTCTTGAAAAAAAATAAATCTGGTCTTGAAAACTCTTGAAAAAGTCTTGGTAATCTCCGCTGTACACAAATACAGTCAAGTCTGCTCTAAGAGCCACCTGTCTAAGACAGCCTCTCAATCAGTCGCGGTGTGTCGTGTTATCCCCAGGTGGTACAGAGCCGACTACTCCAAAGCTGGACACTACGAGTGGGGCAAAAATCTGGGCTGTGAGTTTGTCAACAACAGCTGCTATGCCTGGATACAGAGTCGACTGGCACAGTGAGTGGACTAGGGCTGTGTGTGGGGATGTGTGAGAGTGTGTGTGAGGGGTGTGTGTGTGGGGGGGGGGTATGTGGCACAGTGAGTGGACTACGACTGTGTGTTGGGGTGTGTGGGAGTGTGTGTGTGAGGGGTGTGTGAGTGTGTGTATGTGGACT